TTGATGTGAATAAGTTTGAAGTGATTCACAGAAATGAATCAAAGTGTTTGTGTCACTGAAGAAGAATCAGTCATTCAGTTGATTATGAACTGATTCATTTTTGTGAGTCAGTTCAGAATCAATTTAGAACATGGATGAAACATCTCTGACGAATTTCATTTATGATTCATCCATGTTCTAATTTGATTCTGAAATGATTCACAAAAATGAATCAAACCTAACCGCTCTTACAACTAGTCTGATGACAATATTTAGGAAAAATAATTAAAAGAAATCATTAAAATAATTGTGTGATTCAGAGACTCCTGGAATTCTAAATAAAGGTATAGTTTGAAGTGATTCACTAAAATGAATGAATCGAATCAAATAAGTCAAATAATTTGCATTAGAGTAATTAAATGAGTCACAGTCACAATTATCTATGTTTTAAGCTTTTGAATCAGTTCATTTATGTAAATTAATTTGAAGTGATTCACTGAAACAAATCAAACTGAGATTCTGGTTGTGTCACTAAATAATAAATCATAAAACTAGTTGATATTTAAACAATATTAAGGAAATGTAAAAGACAAACTATGAAATCACCTTAAAATAATCTTAAATATATTTTAGTGATGATTCAGTAATGATTTATCCTTGTTTTAGGTTGATTACAAACTGATTCGCAAAAATGAATCAAACTCAAATGCTGTAGAAAAATCTTAAAACTAGTCTGATGACAATATTTAGGAAAGCAAATTAAAAAGAAAACATTAAAATAATTGTTTGGTTCACAGTCTCCTGTATTTAAAAATAATGGTATAATTTCAAGTGATTCACTGGAATGAATCAAATCAATTGAAGCAGATGATTCCTGAAAACACAACATTTAAAAAAATTTTATGGGAAAATTATAAAAATACATATGTGCATTAGAGTAATTAGATGATTTGCAATATATATATATATATATATTTGTTTTAGACTTTGAAAAGTCATGAAAAGAGTCAATATTTAGAAAATATCTGTGAAATGGACAAATTATGAAACGTTCATTCATAATGATTCAGTTATGAATGATCCATGTTTTAATTTGATTCTGAACTGATTGACAAAAATGAATCAAACTTATATGCTGTAGAAAAATCTTAAAACTAGTCTGTCTGCAATAATTAGGAAACTAAATTAAAAAGAAAACATTCACATAATTGTTTGAGTCACAGGCTCCTGTATTTGAAAATAAAGGTATAGTTTAAAGTGATCCGCTGAAATGAATCGAATCAAATGCAGGAGATGAATCATTCCTGAAACTAGTTTTAAGAATGCAACACTTAACAAACTTAATAGGGAAATAAAGAATACGTGCATTAGAGTAATTGGATGATTCACAGTCATATATTTATCTATAACTTTTGAATCAGTTCATTTGTGTGAATAGTTTGAAGTGATTCACATAAATGAATCAAACTGATATGCTTTTTGTGTCACTGAAGAAGAGTCATGAAACTAGTCAATAGTTAGACAATATCTGGGAAATTCAATGGACAAATTATGAAATTGTTCATTCATAATGATTCAGTTATGATTAATCCATGTTTTAATTTGACTCCGAATTGATTCACAATAATGAATCAAACTTAAATGCTGCAGAAAAGTCTTGAAACTACTCTGATGACAATATTTAAGAAACTGAATAAAAATAAAACATTAAAATAATTGTTTGATTCAAAGACTCCTGTGTTTGAAAATGGAGGTACAGTTTGAAGCGATTCACTGAAAAGAATCCATCTAAGATTTAGTTTGTGTAACTGATGAAAAATCATAAAACTACTCCATATTCAGATCATTTTAAGGAAATGTGAAGGACAAATTATGAAATCATCTTAAAATATTATCTTATTTATTTCAGTAATGATTCAATTATGATTCATCTATGTTTTAGTTTGATTCCGAACTGATTAATTGAATCAAACCAAGATGCTGCAGTGAAATGGAGGTACAGTTTAAAGTGATTCACTGAAATGAATCAATCTGAGATTCTGTTTGTGTCACTGAAGAAAAATCATAAAACTACTCCATATTTTTACAATATTAAGCAAATCGCAAAGGACAAATAATGTAAATCAATTAAAACAATCAAACCTTCACAATTTGAGATATATTTCAATGATGATTTAAATTCAACTTTGTTTTCGGATTATGAATTGATTCTGAACTGATTCACACAAAAGATTTAACCAAACTTAAATGCTATTTTAATATTTAAAAAAATGCTTATGAAACGAGTCTAAATATGCACTCTTTATGAAACTTAAATTGAAAAGTACATTAAAATATTGTGTGTGGTTCAATTAATTAAAATGATTTGATGATAAAATCTTTGAAAATACAGAAAAATAAATGAACTAATTCATAATCAGTCATAATTTATAAATCATCCACATTTCAGAGCCTTGTTTTAATTATAGTATGTAATTAATTGAAATTGAACGTAGATTTTTTTTGTGTGATTCAATTAATTGAAACACTTTTAACTGATCCATAAATGAGTAAAGTGTAAATTAATTACATATGTTCATTATATATGTTTAACTAATTCATAAAACTGTCAAATTAATAACCCTTCACATTTGAGAGGCTTGTTTTGAGTGATTCGTTGAAATGAATCAAAGGTAAATGCTGTATTTGATACAATAGAAGTAGTGAATCAAAATAACTGCTATTTGATTCGCTGAAATGATTCACACTTAAATGCTGTAGAAGAAATGTAATCTGATGAAATGAAAATTTAAAAAGAGTATTAAAATAATTGTGTGAATTGATGAATTAAAACAGTCCATCTGAAATGATTCACGAAAAATGATTCACTGTAAAATGCTGTTTTTAAAAAAAAAATAAAAAAAAAGAAGAATCATGAAACTAAATGGAAAAATGATAAAAGCATATTAATTAAAATCATTGATTAACAACGTCAAGCAAAATAAAACTATTATGAAGAATAAAATGATATGATTCAGTGATAAATGGAAATAAAGCAGCTGAAATCCAGTAAAAGAATCATACAAATCGAACCATACAATATTCATTCATTCATTCATTCATTCATTCATTCATTCTCCTTCAGCTTAGTCCCTGTATTTATCAGAGGTTGCCACAGTGGAATGAACCACCAACTATTCTAGCATATATTTTACACAGTGGATGCCCAGTACTGGGAAACACCCATACACACTCATACACTACGGCCAATTTAGTTAATCCAATTCCCCTATAGCACATGTGTTTGGATTGTGGAGGAACCTGGAGCACCCGGAGGAAACCCACGCAAACGTGGGGAAAACATGCAAACTCCACATAGAAATGCCAACTGGCCTGGCTGGGAATCGAACCAACAACCTTCTTGTTGTAAGGCCACAGTTCTAACCATGCTTCCTTGATTTAACTTATAATTATCATTTTTTTTACTGAGCAGAAATATGGGTTGTGCTGTCACCTCACAACAAGAAGGTCGCTGGTTTGAGTCCCGCCTGGGTTAGAATGTTCTCCTCGTGTTGGCGTGGGTTTCCTCTGGGTGCTCCGGTTTTCCCCACAGGTCCAAAGACATGCGCTTTAGGGGAACTGAGTAGGCTAAATTGTCCGTAGTGTATGTGTGTGAATGGAAGTGAACAGGTGTTTCCCAGTACTTGGTTGCAACTGGAAGGGCATCTGCTGTGTAAAACATAAGCTGGATAAGTTGGCAGTTCATTCTGCTGTGGTAACCCTATGTTAATAAAGGGTCTAACCCAAAAAGAAAATGAATAAATGAATGATCGCCCAGCCTTCCAAGTACTGGGTTGCAGCTTGAAGGGCATCCGCTGTGTAAAACATATGCTGGGTAAGTTGGCAGTTTATTCTGCTGTGGCAAACCCCAAATTAATAAAGGGCCTAATCCGAAAAGAAAATGAATAAATGAATGATCGCCCAGCCTTCCCAGTACTGGGTTGCGGCTGGAAGGGCATCTGGTGTAAAACATATGCTGGATAAGTTGGCGGTTCATTCCGCTGTGGTAACCCCAGATTAATAAAGCGACTAACCCGATAAGAAAATGAATGAATGAATGATCGCCCAGCCTTCCCAGTACTGGGTTGCAGCTGGAAGGGCATCCGCTGAGTAAAACATATGCTGGATAAGTTGGTGGTTCCTTCCGCTGTGGTAACCCCAGATTAATAAAGGGCCTAACCCGAAAAGAAAATGAATGAATGAATGATCGCCCAGCCTTCCCAGTACTCGGTTGCAGCTGGAAGGGCATCTGCTGTGAAAAACATATGCTGGATAAGTTGGCGGTTCATTCTGCTGTGGTAACCCCAGATTAATAAAGGGCCTAACGCAAAAAGAAAATGAATGAATGATCGCCCGGCCTTCCCAGTACTGGGTTGCAGCTGGAAGGGCATCCGCTGAGTAAAACATATGCTGGATAAGTTGGTGGTTCCTTCCGCTGTGGCGACCCCTGATGATTAAAGGGCCGAAGAAAAATTAATCAATAAATGATCGCCCAGCTCTAGTGGTCATACGGTGTCAGTGCAAGTGTGTGTGTTTTCTCACTCTTACAACGCTGGTCTCAGAAACACGACACACACACACACACACACACACACACACTCGCAGTATAAAAAATACCAGTTTAAAAAAGACGAGCACTAGAATCACACAAAAACAATCACGTCCCGCCATTGACATCATTCAACTTCCTGTTTGTACAAACACGTTCCGCAAAGGAATAATAAAGGAGATAAATCATAGCACGAAAAACCAGATAGAAGAAAAGATCACAGGTGTTGGAGAGAGAGAGAAATGAAAAAGAAAGACCGCAAACGCTTTGGCAGAAGAGCTGGGAAAGGAACACACAATGAAAGCATGAGAGAAAAGATAAATTACAGGTGAGACGTGAAAGAAAAGTGGTTTTCTCTTTCGCTCGGCGTGGCCCACCATCACACGCCGCTCCTCCCACAGATTCGGGGCTGCAAGTTATTCGTTTTTTTTTCCTCACAGAGGAAAGAAGCAAAGAAAAAAGGTGCTCTTCTCGAGAAAGTCACGTTTCACTGATTGTCCACGGGAAAAATTAGGCCGACTCCTGACATCCAGAGAGTCTCGGCTCAGAGATATACAATCACAGCGTGTGTATATATATATTTATATATATTCATTTATTTATTTATCTATGAAAGGATCCTTTACAAGAAAGGAGCTGAGAATCCATGTCAGGGGTGTGAGGTTTCAGCCCTGCATCTGAACCCTTGTTTAAGCTGTGTGTGTGTGTGTGTGATGTTACTCCAGTGGCGTCTGTCCGTCTGTACTGCAAGCTTTGCGGATGATGGGAAGCGGATGAGCTTCTGTGTTGAACACCCAATCCTCCAGCGGCAGCAGGTCATCCTCTGAGAACAGCAGGTACAGATATCTGCAATCACATATGAACAGCATTAAGGGGCCGTTCACACAGAATGCGTTTTTCCTTTTCCTTTTTACTATTGTTTATTATTTTTCAGTGTTAATGCGTTTGATGAGTGCTTCTATTACAAAGCTCATATAATAAATAAAGATAATGTGATTGAGAACATAAATGAAAATGTATTAGTCTTATCACTTTAAAATAACAAATACTGTACATCTATATTTAGGCTTAAAACACTGCTTTATTTATTTATTCATTCATTCATTTTTTTTGTCGGCTTAGTCCCTTTATTAATCCGGGGTCGCCACAGCTAAATGAACCGCCAACTTATCCAGCACGTTTTTACTCAGCGGATGCCCTTCCAGCCGTAACCAATCTCTGGGAAACATACACACACACTCATACACTGTACCACATGTCTTTGGACTGTGGGGGAAACTGGAGCACCCGGAGGAAACCCACACAAACGATGGGAGAACATGCAAACTCCACACAGAAACGCCAACTGAGCTGAGCAGAGCCTAGGTTCGAACCAGCGACCCAGCGACCTTCTTGCTGTGAGGCGACAGCACTACCTACTGCGCCATTTATTTATTTTGTTTTAATTTTTTTATTTTCTGTATTTATTTATTTATATTTATTTATTTTTTTATTTTATTTATTTTTTATTTTTTTATTTTATTTATTATTTTATTTATTTATATATTTATATATTTATTTATTCAATTTTATTTATTTATTTATTTATATTTGTACTTAAGCTGTCGGTTATTGCTTTTATTTTGAGTGAACCCTAAACTTAACAGGCTCACAATGATAATGCCACTGCGTCACCTTTATTAATTTAATTTAATTTAATTTAATTTAATTTAATTTAATTTAATTTAATTTAATTTAATTTAATTTAATTATTTATTTATTTATTTATTTACGTTTGTACTTTAAATTAGCTGTCGGTTATTGCTTTTATTTTGAGTGAACCCTAAAACTTAACAGGTTCACAATAATAATAAGGCTTGTTAACAAGGAATTCTAATACTTTGTTTCATTAGTACATTACTACTGTACATCACTGTATATTTTTGTCTGTTTGCATCCTGTCCATTTGCGCCCCCTTGTTGTCAATGTCACAAATGATTGTTACATTTGTACCAGTGCTAATATACAACCATAGCACACTGCTACTCGTGTGATATTGCTCATATATATTTGAATCCGATCGAGCCTGTAACCGCATGATCCGGCCCGATTTCCAATCAGGTGTTCAGATATGGACATAACATTTTAAAGCGCTGTGTTTTTTAGAGGCCGTCCCAAGTTAAAAGATCTTCAACTTGGGACTAATCAGATTACAGTTTGGACCCAAAATACTTTTTAATTGTCATTTTAATACTCTTACTTTGTCAAGATTTAGATTGTTACCTCATTTGAAACAAATTTAATACAATTAAATTTAATAAATAAAAAATAAATATATATAAAAGGAACAGAACAACAGAGAAAGTAAAGGTTCTGGAAATAAACCATTTATTAAAACCCTGATGATTTGATGCTGCTGTTACACCTATAACACATTTTACTACTCTTTTTGTCCCATGGTGACATCAAACGCGGCTGTACTGGTCATTCTGAACTATCACTCACTGTGCTTATGCAGCTTACATCTTTTGAAAGTGCTGCTCATCACCGCCGGTTCGACAGCAGTGGGCCAATCAGATTACAGTTTGGACCCAAAATACTCATTAATTGTTATTTTAATACTTTATACACTTACTTTGCCCACATTTTGTGACCTCAATTGAAACTGAATCATATTCAGAACACTTGCTATATTTTACTATATAAAAAGGAACAGAGAAAGTAAAGGTTCTGGAAATAAACCTTTACTAAAAACATGATGATTTGACACTCACCGATTTGTCAATGAAATTATTTATGCTGTATACTGTATAGTCAATGAGACTGAAGTAAAGTGTTCATAATAAAAAAAAACATTAATTAATGACTAACAAATGATTACCTTAAAAACTGAGTATACATTTGACTGCAATAATCAAGTCTAAACAGTCGGTCAGAAGCCAGATCAATAATGAATCCTTCATGGCTCATTATTAAACATGTCAACTGCATATGTCTGATTGCAGAAGGAAAATCAGGCTGATAATGAACTCACTTGAGCGTCTCGGACAGGAAGAAGCTTTGCTGCATGTTATCATGACTGTCTGAGGAGGCGTAAACATCTCTGATTCCTGAGAAACCCGCATCCACACGACAATGCTTCTCCAGAGCCTGTGAAGACACACCGATTATTTCATTACAATGCTTTTAATTACAATCTACAAGAAACAACACAGGTCACGTGATGCTGCCTTACATCAGTAATGCTACAGCAGAGGTTCTCAATGGCAGAAAAGTATCAGTGTGAATTAAAATAATAAAAAGCAACTAACAATACAATCATGCACACAGAAAAATTGAGAAAATAGTTCATTTTCCACACTGTGCCATTCAAAAACAATATTATCACCCCTCCTGTGAAATTTCAATTCTTTTATTTTCCCAGGTCATATTTAGGAGAGCAAATCCAGTCAC